CAATGAAATTTTATTGAATTTTAAATTATTGGGCCTCCTATAATTTTGATAATTTATGTTAGCTTTTTCACATTGTCGTTGTGTGACTGTTAGCGCTGATGCGTCTTCATTTCTTTTGTCACGGCATTCAATCCAACACCTATAGGCCTATAGTTAAAAAACAACTTTTGTCAAGAAGCGCTCTTTTCAACAAACGTAAAACAAAAATGTTCGGTATAAAAGTCACTTGGAAAGTTCATTACATCCCTGGACTGGAATCACCTCTACCGCCTACCAAGATATAAATGTGACCTATTCTATAATGTACTCCTTTTGGGCCTTGTTACCTTTTTACCAAGAAAAAAAGTCAAAATCCACTGTAGAGATAAACCATGGATCACCCCAGAATTGAAAAAAGGTCATATCCGGCTGACAGACAATAAGCACTATTTCTAAGAAATCGTAATTTGTTTAATGATGCGGCCTTCTCAAAACATTCTCGACAGCAATTGTTTCACCTGTGTAGCATCCTTAGATACAGTATCGTATTGCATCTTAATCTAATTACCTTATGCTTGTATAAAATAGTTATTTCTTAATATCACATTACATTATGACAGTACACTTAGTGCGTGCGTGTCAGCGTGTGTTCGATTCGAGGTTATAATATAAACACAACATCTGGCGACGAAAATACCTAAACGAAAAACGAAGTTTACGAATCCATTGCTTCTTTACTGCGCACACCACATCTACAATCCAGATATATACTGAACGTAACAGCTCCTTCAACGCAAGGAAATAACGGCAAATCCCACGACAGACATTGTGATCACCAGCAACTCATCAAGCACGAATCAACAGCGCCGCGCCACAAAATTCAGTCCCGCGTATGCCTACATCATTACCCATTTTCTCCAATTCCCCTCGTTTGACGTTTACCTTGACTTTAATGCTGGTCTACGTTGGACCATATGGCTTACTCGCTTTGAACGCTTGATTGGTGACATGAATATAACCGATGTTACCCAGAAAAGAGTGTTGTTATTACACTGCGTTGCTATTACACTATGTCGACGCTTTCGAAATTTAAGTCGACGATAGTTTTGAAACACTACAAGACACGGGTGAAGACAAAGATTATGAAAAAGCCGCGTAGAATGTTTGAACGCGTATTTTGTTCCGAAAGTCAACACCGTCTACGAAAAATATCAATTTCGTCAGAGGAAACAGCGCTCGAATGAAAACCTAGCTAATTCTTACCATGCCCGGCTTAGACAGCTTGCCAAACACTGCGATTTTGCTAACGTTGACATTTTGACAAAGCAATTCGCACACAAATTGTCTTCAGCTGTGCCTCCCACAAGGATGGACTACGTGCCCTTCTCGAGGACCTCAACCTTACAGCCTCATCGAAGGCAGTCGCATAGATGAGATAACTGACCAACAGTCAGAGACATTCAACCTACCAGTACTGACCAAAGCGTCAATGCCCTTCACTCACGTAGTAAGCCCTATCCTGTTCACCCGGATCAGCATTCTCCGCCCCAAACTTCCAAAAATCAACGAACACACACCGTCTTTGTCCCAACGGGAAGACGTGTCGTTCATGTGTCAATGTACCTTTACTCGGAAGTTGGTCCACCTCTGTTCGTTATAAGTCCACAACCGTTGATGCTACGTTCCACGTCACAAAAGGCGACAGTGGCAATCTTTTCAGTTGCACTACCGCTCAACAACTCAACCTATTAACCCTTAACGTTAATTCCACCATGTCTGTTCAAACCTTCCACCACGCCTTCCCTCATTTGTTTGATGGCATTGGCCAGGTTAAAGGAAAAGAAATCAAGCTCCATATCTTGAACACCGCAACACCAAAGGAACAGCCACAACGTCGCATTCCTTTCCACGTACGCAAAGACGTTGAGCAAGAACTGAAACGCCTCCAACAGCTCGACATCATTCAAGCCGTTGACGGGCCAACGCCATGGGTATGTCCTATTGTGGTGGTACCCAAGAAATCAGACAAAATACGTATATGTGTTGACATGCGTGAAGCCAATTAACAAGGCAATCGGAAGAGAAAAGCACCTCATGTCAACCTTAGATGTCGACCTCATCGCTGACTTGAACGGGGCGGCCGTTTTTACTACCAACTAACCCTAGTTCCAGAAAGTCGTCACATCAACACCACACAATTCCAAGTGTGTTTCCATGGTCATATCTTTAGCGCCAAAGGAATCCAAGCCGATTCTGTGAAAATTGATTCCATCCAACAAGCCCGCGCTCTTCAAAACGTCAGCGAAGTTTAGTCTCTGCTTGGTTTCTCCCACTATCACTGCTCCACTTCGTGCTCTCACTCGAACTGACGCCGAGTGGAAATGGGCGACCGGCGGAACAAACGTCCCTCAACAACCTGAAAGCTGCGCTAACGGGACAGAACGTAATCTCCTACTTCAGCCTGTATTCTAAAAGCTCACTCACACTCAAAGAGTGGAGGTTCAGTCTGAGCCTCCCAGGCCGGTGAGTGTCAGTGCTGTTTTTGAATAGCTGGAGGGTGAGTCTCGTTCCTTACTATGTGACTACTCACCCTCCAGCTGTTCAAAAACAGCATTGACACTCAAGAGAAGCTCAGATTGAAATGTTAGCCGTCGTTTGGGGAGTTGAACCCTTCTATCTTCACGTCTATGGCTAACCGGCGTTTTCAGATTATCACGGATCATAAGCCTCTTCTTGGCATCTTCAAGACCCAGAAATCTGCAACACCGCGCATGGATCGATGGAAACTCCGACTCATGCCTTATAATTGCCAGTTAGAGTATCGCCCTGGGAAAGACAACCCTGCTGACTTCATGAGCCGCCATCCCAAACCAGTAAATTTCATAAACGAAACTGAGAACTTAGCTGAAATTTACGCAAATTATGTATGCTCGAACGCCATTCCCAAAGCCATGACTCGTGAAGAAGTCAAACTTGAAACCAAGCTGGACCCTCTCCTCCAAAAAGTAGTCACAGCGATTTCCCTCAACAACTGGACCGATCCATCTGTCGAACGCTACCGCCGTTTCCAAGACGAATTGATGGTCTGTGACGAAGTTATCTTCCGTGGAAACCGTATTGTTCTCCCACAGTCCCTGCACAATCGAGCCATCGAGTTAGCCCACCTTGGCCATCAAGGCATTGTTAAAACGAAGCAACACTACCTACGCGAAAAAGTCTCCAGATATTGAGAAAATGGTTGAAACCAATTATCGTCAAGATGTGTTAGCCCTATCAAGCCTCAACCCAAGGAACGACCCCACCTCCAGAACCACTACAACCCTCCTCGCTCCCAGAGAAAGCTTGAGCCAATGTAGCAGTTGATTTTGTTGGACCACTTCCCACAGGCGAATACCACCCCGAAAACGAAATTCTCACCACCACATCCGCGAAAAGCCACAATTCCAAAGCTTGATGCCATATTCTCCAGACAAGGCATCCCTGAGATTCTCAAGTCAGACAGTGGCCCTCCATTTAATGACGAACAGTTTGAGAATTTTCTAACCACCTCTATTTTAATTCTTTCTCGACAAGTGGTTTTGCATTACATTACGATTCAATTTTTCTAATGTAAATATCTCGGCGACTATTTACTCCCTTTAAAACAAAGACCACCATTGAAATCCTCACAAAGTAACCTTTCGAACGGGGACCGCGTAAGATAATACTGGCCAAGAGCCAACGGTGAAACTGAACATGAAAACTATTGAGAAAGCAATTCGAGCTGCCACAGTTAAAGGTCGGAACTGAAAACAAGCTATGTATACGCTTTCCTTCGCCAATATCGTGTCCACATAGCACCATCCCCGTATTACTTAGCGAAGCACTAAATAACCGAAAGCTGAAACTCACCTTCCAGATCCCCCCATCAACACCAAGCAACTCCAAGAGAGATGCGGAGATACGTAGTCGAGACGAAAAGAACAAATGAACCATGAAATCGTACAGCGACAAACGAACTCATGCCAAGCCAAACAACATCACCCTCGGTGACACTATCCTCCTACGACAACCGAAATTGAATAAACTGTCCACACTATTTGTTGTAACAGTTAAAGACTCGACGATCACCGCAAGAAACAAGTTCAGAACAGTAACGCGTAACTCCTCCTTCTTCAATGCCCACCTCGAAACTTCCGACGACGAAAACAGCCGACCTATAACAAGTTAACAACCACCAAACCTTCACAACCGCCTTCACCACCACTGAGGAGATCCTAAGTGCGTGCCTGTGTTCGATTCGAGGTTATAATATAAACACAACAACCTGCAGCATCTATCTTTATCGCTTCGATCGTTCGAGTTCAAGTACCTTTACAATGGAAAGTGACAGATGGTATCCTAATACCCAAGGTTCACTTAGTACAAGACATTAACAACGTTCTTCGATCAGTATCCCTTATACTGCCACACTATCTAAAGTCTTGGAGTAATTTAATGCAGAATGGATTCTTGATAGCATCGGCCAGAAACTCGACCCTAAACAGTTCGGAGTAATTCCTGTTGCTTCGTATGTTGACGCTCCAATAAGCCTCCTTCATTCCTTATATGCCGATACTGATGGGAATGGAAAAACGTATATTTCTTCTCGGCGAGGCATTTGACCGCATCAATTACAAGATATTAATATAAAAGATGCGCAAACTAGATATAAATACATGCGTTATAAACTGGATAATTGACTTTTATTTTGTCTGGAAGGAAGCAGAGCGTCAAAATAGTTGGCATTCTTCTGGATTGGCTATCAGTAAATGGCGGTGTACCGCCTAGGAACAGTGCTCGGTCCCATACTTTTCTCAGTTATGATGAACAACTTGGTAATTATTGATCATGATCGACGATAAAAATTTGTTGATGATACAACTGTCTCTGGGTCACTAATGGAGAGCAAGGGAGGATGCAATCCCTCGTTAATGAAATAAACACCTGATGTATAAAGAACTACATGAAACTCAATCTATCCAAATGTAAAGATATGATCATCTCTTTTGCAAAGGAACATCCAAGACTAGATCCAACCTTTATTGTCCCTGTAGTTTCGGCAAAAATTCTTGGCACTTGTGGTGTTACTTAACTTGCCAACTAACTAATAAAACTTTATTCATGACGTGATGTCACTTATATACACAATGTGATATGATTAATTAATAATTGATTGTAGTCAGTAGCGAACTACCTTTCTTCAAAAGTAGCATTAGCTGTAGCTGACTACATATTTTTGAAGTAGCTATAGTTGTCGCGAACTACAAAAATTTTGTAGTCAACCCATCCTTGTTATACATCCATAAAAAGCAAGAAATTATAAGCATTGAAGGTATTTATATAAAACCACCCATGCCAAGAAAGTAGAATTAGAATATTTAGCTGACCTTCGACTTTGTGCATGAAGGTGTTTGATATTTTGATGTATTGAAATAAGTCACTAGGCCAAACGAAAGTTCAAATGCTGGTTAACAGAACTGAAAATGTTGTAGAGAAGATCTTGTAGTTCAAGAAGTTTATTATTGCTGCTTGCCGAAAAAACTTTCGTTCACAGTTAACTATAATCTATCTCTAGAAAATAATGTAGCTTTTTGCTGAAATAATCTCACTTTACATCTCGTCCTGGCAAAGGGGGATCATATAAACAGCCCTTTCAGCAAATTGTGCATTCTGCCTTTGATCTTTGGGGGTGAGGCAACACATTCCTTGCCATAGTAACTTCTAGTAATAATTATAATAATAATCAGAAATATCCAAAATTACATTTCAAAGTTGAATTTGCTTAGTTTGATTCTACTATTCCCTAAGCTAGACTCGGGGCTCCACATCATTATGCTATAACATTTCTTGATTTAATTTTAGGCCGTCAAACTAATCCGCCATTGTGCCTTAAGGGCTGGATTCACCTAGTCTCAAAATGTTACTACTTCAGTACAACAAAAACAACGATGTCCAGAGCAAGATCTTCATGTAAGAATCAAGGTGGAGATCTAGTTCTTCCACAAAACTCTCAAGAACATAACGCTATCTGGAAAGTTGTGAAAGAAAAGAAATTTACTCATCCTTGGATCGGCTTGATAGAGCAACAGAGAGATAAATTTTATACCCTAGATGGGAAAATACCATCGTATACAAACTGGGGATCCAACCAACCAGATCTCGGTGGAAATGAAAACTGCGTGATTTTTTATGGCAACGAAAATGGGAAATGGCATGATACCTCATGTAATAATAACTTTCATTATATTTGCCAGAAGAAAACAATGCGCAAATGTAAGTGTACAGTTTTATTTACTTTGTCGATTAATTAAGAAATTTCAAAAGAAATTAAATAACAAATGAATGTTAAATCAATATCTGTAACTCGCGCACAGATTTTGTCCTCATGATTTACAAATATTAAAACTTTAGCGGTTTTTATTTTCTCGATTAATGCTAACCATATCGGCAAAATAATCGGTAAACTTTATAACTTAGATGCATTTGTACAATATTTGCAGTGAGAAAATTGAATTAAAGTTTATGTAAATCAACATGATTCTGTATCAGATATACAAACTCCTCCACGCTCATAATTAATTTTATTTGACTCAACTTATTTCGAAAAGTTCACAGTAAACTGCATGATAAATAAACGAATAGCAAAAGTTTGAATATCATATCTGCATGGATTATTAGTAATCTGCATGGATTATTAATATAGAGGGATAGGAAACTTGCTGACGTCAGCAACTCAACCTAGTTGAAAATTCTAATAATAAGACGTCACATCAAAACAATCATTTTGCGCGAGATATATCCAAAATTTCAAAACGGAGGTACAGGATGTTTTTGAGAAGTGGGATGAAAGTATTATAATGGATATGGAACAAATTGAAGGCGTTGTTAGCAGGGAGGAAAAGAAGAGCAATATGTGCGAGAACGACAATGAAAGCGATGTAGAAACAGACTTGGGAGACGAAGATGAAAACGAAGAAGATAAACATTCATTACACTGTAAAAAATGTAGAAAAATTTATCGATTTAAGTCATGATCTTTGAAGCACGGTAGCACCAAAATTTTCGTGAGGGCTCAGTCCATAAAGGGAATCGTAGGAATAATCACCAAATGTAGCACCACCAAAAAAACAAGACATAGTTTTTCTAAATTTCTAAAATTCCAGCTGATATATAGTTTCTCTGAGAGTAGCAAGGTATGCGAATTTAAAACTCTAAGTAGACTAACTCTGTACTCGATTAGAGAATTAACAAGACACTTGAACCCCGTCCATTTTCAGCAGTTTTCTCAAAAATGTCACGCAAAAGCTGTGAGAAATCATCTTTGACTTGGATTATTGAGTAAATTCGTCAGCGAGGTAGAGATATA